CTGGCGGAGCAGCTCGACGACACCATCCAGCGGAGCGGCGTGTGCGCCGCCGCCGCGGCGGCGGCGGCGGTGGCGGCCTCGGAGGGGCGGCACGGCGCCGCCGCCGCCGCCGCGGTGGCGGCGGCGTCGGCGGCGGCCGCCGCGACGGGCTCCGCGGAGGGGGCGGGGAGGGACTGGGGTTGAGCAGCCCTCTCCTCCTCCTCCTCCTCCTCCTCCTCCTCCTCCTCAGCCTTGCCTGGGGGCCTCCTCGCCCCCCGTCCACCTGCTCCTCTGCCTCCCCTGCTCCTCTGCTGCTGCTCCTCCTCCTCCTCGTCCTGCGCCGCAGCCTGAGGCGGACACGGGATGGTGCACCTCCCTGGCCTCACAGAGGCGCGATCAACCGAGAGCAACTCTCCCCTGACCCTTGCATTGCTCGTCCTCCGTGCTCCCACGGGCTGATCTCCCATCTCGTATGAGACCTGGCAAGGTACAAACACGAAAGAGGGCTGGTCCAGCTCCTGAGCTTCGAGGTCGCACCGCCCCGTCTCCTGGGCCGCCCGGCCAACGAAAACCCAGCGGGCCGTCGCCGGGCGGGCTGACCGGAGGTGGGAGCGGTGGCGGCACCTTCAAGCCCTGCGGTACATGGACACAATTCGTGGACACTCCCCCGCCCCCCCCAACTCAAAGTTGGCACGCGGGGAAGACTGGGGTCGAAGTGCAGCTCATTCAACCCACCGCCAAAATTGATCATTGGGGGGGGCATTGACAGGTGAATGCGGCATGAGTGTTCGCTCATTTCTTCCGAGGCCTGTATGTCCATCTGGCCATTGCTAGGCTCCTTTGGAAGTCTCGCTTTTGTCGATCTGGCTGAGTGTGTGCTTCCCTTCCTTGGACAGTCCAGGGGCACACGGTCGATCCAGGCGGACGAAACGTGACACCCCTTGGGCAGCGCAGGCTCTACAAAGCCACACATCTGTGAACTTCTCGACGTCGTGGGTGCGATGTATCTGGAAGGGACGCTTCTCGCACTCCGTCTTGCAGCATTCCACTGGCCCTGTCTTGCTACTGAATCTCAGACAGGCTATGCATCTACCTCTTTAATCATTCTTCTGCAAAACATGGGAAGTTTCTCTGGCCGCCGCGACCCCTAACTTCGGCCTGAGCTTTGGCATGAACCCTGACCCTTGCAGCCAAATCATTTTTTGGTCGTCCCGCAACAAGCATCCTTAACTTGCTCGGCCACCTCGAGGCCGATGCTGATGGGTCTCTTCTGAGCCCTCCAGGCCAGCTTATTCGCCTCCCGGACATGAAAGACACGAGAGCGGGGGGGGGGGGCCTCCTGCTCCGCCAGCTCCGCGAGGGCATCCTCCTAGTGGTTCGCGTGCCATTGCTCCGGGGCAGTAGAAACACCGACTTCGGCCTTCCCTGGGTGACTCTGGATTTTCTCACAGAAAGCAAGGGTGCCTTCGTGCCCTTTCGAGGCCTTCCCAAATTCAATCCACGAATCAGCATCCGAAGCGTGTACAGCATCGGCCCCTTGCCGATGCTTTTGACTACATCAGCTGCGTCTCATATCCTGCCGTGTTTATGTAGAGCGCTGATTACTGCTACAAGCTCGGCCCTGGGGGCTGGTTACATCGGGCCTGCTACATGTCCTCGGACAGACACCACGACCTTCTTATCGACACAGGCGGCGAACAATTATCCCGCTCTTCTCAATCGGGCGTCCCTCAACTGCTCGACCCGTCAGATACTATGACTGAGTCTGGTCGGCCTGCGTTGGGCCATTCTCCTTCTAATTTGGTTTCTCCCGCGTGATAAAGAAGGTCAGCCCCAGCCAAGGTCCAGAGGATGGGGACCAGTCCGCGCAGCTAAAAGCAAGGATACGACTGCTTCTTCCTCCTCCTCGTCCTCCGTCGCAATTTTGGGTCACGTTGAAACCATCTCTCCGTGGCTCCATCTTGACCGCAGCCGACGGGCTGGGCCAAGGGACCGTCCAGACCAGCGGTCACATTCCCCCCACACGCACCGCGCGCGGCACATGACCGCCATGGGGCCAGCGCAGGGTGATGCGTTCATGGAGCAGCTGAAAAGCATGTTTGACGCGCAGAAGGAGAGCTTGAAGGACGCAGTCACGGGCGATATTCAAGTTGCAGTCGCTGGGCTCCAGCGGCGCATGGACCCGCAGAACCTGGAACTACAATGTCTTCGAGCCGACGTCAAATCTCAAGGTCAACGATTGGCATCTTTTGGAGTTGGTCGCAGTACGGGTGTTGGCAGTTGCAGCGACGTGTCATCTCTCACTTTCCAGAGTCGGACCCCTGCAGTCAGGAATTTCGAGGGAGACCAGGCCAGGAAGGCTGTGTGTAGTGTGTATCATCGATATGACTGGCGACCTTTTCATCCGTTTCGTGGGCATGTTGCCTAGACCGCTACTCGTGAAGACCAGACAGGCCCACTGGGAACAAATGCAGGTACACTTCCCGGAGTTGAAGGACGATGATCGCGTGACAGCCATCCTCCACGGTGTGAGACAGGGTTACAATCTGAAGTTTGCAAGTGACGACGCCAGGGACCTCCAGCATAACATGCACAACGTACACATGGAATGGGTCGATTTCCGCGACCAGAAGAAGTACCCGTTGAGGGTTGAGGGCGTTCTCCCGCTCCACGCGAGGAAGAAGTGTGCCTTCTCGGGGCTCTTCGTGGACATCCTCGAGGAGGTGAAGAAGAGTCCAGCCTGGGCTGGAGGTTGTAAGCTTGGAGCCAACGGTCTCGTCGAAGGAACCTCGCAGACGACGATCTATTCGCGCTGACCAAGGCCGCCCAGCAGGGGGAGGACACCTTCAAGCTGGAGCCGATCTACAGCAATCTCCTCACGTGGGGCGTCTTCCAAGAGCGGGCCGACAGCATCATCGACGCGTTTTGGAGTTCTCCCTCAGGGTACCTCGTCTCGAACTTCGCTCAGAGCACGAACTGGGGCGCGCGTGGCGCTTGCCGTGCCCAGCCTAGCGCGCCCTCCTGCCCCCCCGTGCCGTCAGCGCCTGTCAGCGCAGATGTATCGTTTTGTCCTCCCCCCCTCTTCCCAATATTCTCAGTTCGATCCTGATCGCGGGTTCTTGGTAACGACGTGGAATCCACAGGATTTCGTTGCTTGTTTGTATGCTGACCGAATTCGCGTCCAGAGCAAACCCCAGAAAGTACGTGCCGCCCTTCAGCGAAACCAGCCCGCGCGGGTGCTGGTGGCCTGCTCACGTGTGTCGCGCGCGATCTGTTGAGCGACTTCCCCTCCGTCTCGTTGCTCAAGCTCGTGCCGGGCCGGGCGGCGTGTGTGAATCTTGCTGGTCCCAGGTGGGAGTTGCAAATCTTCGATGTTCACGTTTGCCCAGCGCTTCCCAACCCCGCTGTTCGAAGGCAGTTTTCGGCCATCAAATCCGATTCAAGGTGGCCGAGCGGACAGAGCGCTATGCGCCCGCCAGGCGAGCCGCCCTTTTTTGCGTTCCCCCCCCGCAGCATGCTGGGCTCGATCGGCCGCTCTATATTCGTGGACGTGTCATCGCGCTGTCTACCGAGTCGATTTAGTATGGGGGACTAGATCGGCTCTATTGCAACATCTCTAGTCCCGACCTCCTCGATCTTCTGCCCCGCATGCTCGAACCTCCGGTACATCGCGGACCTCGCTTTCCTTTCTGCCCGCGCCCGCATCTGCGTCGCCCTCCAGCCTTGGAAGCCGCGGCAGAGTTGTCGCCCCCCAGCGCGGGTGTTCCACGGGCCCTCTTTCGCCGTGCATTTCGAGGGCGTCTCTGGCGGCCGGGAGTTCAGCGGGCGCCCCCGTCCATGTTGAACAAGGTAAGCGTGCTCATCGCTGTTGCAGGTCAGACAGCCAAGTCCGAGATGTTTACGACTGCTGAAGAGTAGTGGCGAGAGAAGATCGTTGGTTCTCGCGCTAGCAGGTCGGGGCTAGAGGTTCGCCAGCGGCTACGTGCGCGCCTGCCGCATCCTCTTCACTTTTATGATTGGGATTGCGTGGCTTGGAGCGACTGGCATGGTTCTCGCGGCCACCCCGCCTCCCCGGTGAATCTGGAGCTCATTGCGCAAGAGGGGCGCTGCCGACTTGCTTGTCGCAAGAGAGGCAGCCGCAACTTCAGCGCCGACTCGCACCTCGTGCGCATTGCAGCCTTGTCAAGCCTTGGAAAGCTAAACAGCGTGCGATCTGCCTGCGGCGCCTTGTAGACCACCGCAGTGGGAAGTCTCGTGTGGGCCCCGAGAAGTGCGCCGGGCTCCTGGGCTCTGATCCCGGCAATGATTTGGCCCCATGCGAGGAGGCCCTTTCCCTGCGCGTGATTTCCTGAAGCTTATCCCGCCCGCGGCCCCGGCAATTATCTGCGCGCAAACTCGTTCCACAAGCGGTTATTTTCTTTTGTTTGTTGATATTTTCCCTACCTAGGCTCTGCCTAGAAGGGTTATTATTTTAAAGCTTAAAGGGGCCGGGCAGTGCTACCCGCCCCGGGCGTTTCCCCCGGCGCCCGCCCCGCGGCCCCCCCAGTTGCGTCCCTTTATTATCCCGAAGGTCCAAATATTTGTAGTGATCATTCCCTACCTAGGCTCTGCCTAGACGGGTTCTTGCTGCGCCTAAAGTGGCCGGGCAGTGCTGCGCGCCCCGGGCGGCTCCCCCGGCATCCGCCCCGCGGTTCCCCCAGTTGCGCCCCCTTAGCTTAGCGTTGCTTATCTCATCTTAGCTTAGCCTAGCTTAACTTAGCTGAGCTTAGCTTAGCTTAGCTTAGCCTAGCCTAGCCTAGCTTAGCTTAGCTTAGCTTAGCCTCGCCTAGCTTAGCTTAGCTTAGCTTAGCTTGGCTTGGCTTAGCTTATCTCAGCTTAGCTTAGCTTCGCTTAACCCAGCCTAGCTTAGCTTAGCTTAGCCTAGCTTAGCTTAGCTTAGCTTAGCTTAGCATAGCATCGCTTACCTTAGCTTAGCTTGGCGCAGCTTGGCTTCGCGCAGCGCAGCATTAGCACAGCATAGCATGGGATATCATAGCCAAGCATAGCACAGCATATCATGGCATAATATAGCTCAACATAGCATAGCATATCATAACATAGCGCAGCACAGCATAGCACAGCGGAGCATAGCATATCATAACATATCATAGCACATCATCTCCTATCGTATCACA